CCGCCTTTGTTCGGGATAAGGAACAAGGAGCTCTGTTTGGATATCTTTGTTAGGGTTTCTATTGGGCCGTAACATTGCGATATATCGGCCCAGCATCCACCGAAAAGAAAAGAGACACGTGGACGGCTCGATAGAACATTTTAACCCTGGCATGCAACTCTAGTCGATTCTATAAAATCATACGGTACCCAATCGAGACTCCATGCAATAATAAATCTGTTTTCATACTTTTGTAAGTATATCTCTAAAAACAAAAACAAAAACAAAGAACAGAAATGGGAATTTCCAGGGAAAATGTTGAGATAATTAGAGTGTTGATGATAGCAATGGGAATCATCGGTGCACAAGGTTGGTGGATCCACCGGATGGACAATTCTTGGCAACTTCGACTACAAAAAATGGACTTCTTCCGACACTTTCACCGCCCGAGATTCTCTATGTACCGTCACACGTTTACGTTTCTCCTTTTCTTTTTAAATGTTACAGCTTATTAAATTCGGATTTTGCACTCGGTTTTACAGTATTCGTGTACAACACCCAATTTCACAACGTGAAGCAAGTAAGCCGCCGTGACTTCCTCTCGTGCAACGCCACGTTAGCGCTGGCCACCTACACTTCCGGTTCCGACACGGTGGCTCTTCCAACACCCGGCCACTACTACTTCCTCTGCGGCTTCCCTGGCCACTGCCAAGGCGGCCAAAAGCTCCATGTCCTCGTCGTCGCCACTATAGCCAGTCCCAGCCTCAGCCCGGATTTATCCCCTACTCTCTCACCTTCCACCGAGCCATCTCCATCTCCGGCCACGGCTTCCAACGATTCCGCTCAAAACGGTGCCGCTTCAAAGCCCGTGTCGATTGTTTTGGCTTCGGCTATGAGTGTCATTGTGTGATTGTGGTCTTAGATTCATATATAAAACATTATCCTGTGTTTATTTTTACTGTTGGAGTCATTATTATTTTTAGCTGAATAAGTGATTTATGAAGCATCGTAACCAAAAAAAAAGTGATTTGTGAAGCACAACACAGTAATCTTGTTGGCAAAACATAATGAAGATTTCCACATACAACCAGGTGGAATGGACTATATCTCTGGTGGTCAAATATTAAATTGGGCTTAAGTGTAAAGAATTGGGCCATAACTAATAATGGTCTGGTTTTTTGAACCGTAGTAAAAGAAAATGTAATAGCAAGAATTTCAAAGTCGAATAGTG